CCATTCCTATACTGGAACTCGCTAAAAGTCACAGAACTTTCCTTGTAGTATTTTAAGCTTTTGGCTCAGCTCCTTGGAAGACTTCAGTGAAGAACTAACTGCCTTGGTTTTAGCAGGAAATGATGACATTCATGAATCACCATATGCTTTTTAAGCACATGCTCATACTACAATTATGTCTGTAAAGAATAGGGAGAGGTGGGCTCAGGCAGGCATTGATATTATGCTGGGATCAGACCCTGAGATGCAACAATGCGGATGATGAAGTGGGTAATATGGGATTGTTCTTGACCTCACTCATCTCGAAAGCAGCTCCCGGCCAGGAAATCCTGTTTACACTCATGGGGGTGGAGTCTGCTGACCACAGCAAAGAGGATCTTAGAGCTAGGAATCCTCTGGAGAGTGTAAACACTGCTGCACTACTTTTCAGGAAAAAGAATGTGCGCTAAGGCAGACCTCGTGAATACCATGCAGCTGCCCTCCTTGCAGACATTCTCAGTGGCCAGCACACTGTGTCCAGATTTCAGATCACACAAATAAGATAAGCAGGTTTTTCCAGAAAGCTGGTTTTCATCGCAAAACCATTTGAGAATCAGAAAAATAAAAAATTAAAAAAAAGAGGAAATTTGAGGCGATGCCATAGTATCATGACAGACTAAGATTCCATATTGAGTTTTAAAAGTCACTTTGTTTTACAGTAAATGCATTTTTATGAGGAGAAAATACACCTTAGGGTGCACTCTGAATTTTAAGAAAATATGCACAGGTCTTTTTGCAGTTTGAGTTAATTACATCAAGTTGAATGATGCCAAAATGAAATAATTGTCAACAAGGTTGGTGAGTAAAACCAATCTCCTAATACGAATCTAGTTTTCGTATTTTACATAAATAATCCTTGGAACATTTAAAACAAAATTTTGCAATATTATGGGAGACTTTCTTTAACTTTTTAGAAAATACTCATAAAATTTTCATTTTATGGTAAAGTATGCATCATAGGTCCAGATTTACTTAAATTTTAAGGTAATAGTTTTTCAGGTATTCACTAAGCTTTTCCTTAATGGACTGACAAAATAAAATAGGCCACAACTTGCCTTCTCAATGCATTTACGTAAAAAAAAAAAATTCCTGTTCTTTGAAGGTTCTTCATTAGCTACAAATTGAGTCCATGGCTTCTGCTCCAGTTATATGCTTCAGCCAAGAATAAGCCAAAGATTCTGGCAGTGATGGAAAGGTGAATCTGTGACTCAACTCGGAGAGTCCCAGGTTTAACAAAAACTGATTGGGCACCCACTCATTATGTGGTGAGCTCCACGCCAGGTGGAGTGAGTAGGGCCATGAGAAGTGAAAGAAAAGGTCCCTGCCCTTGAGAAGCTTACAACTGTGAACCGGACATGATGCAAATAGGAAACTGAAAAAATATATATATATATAGTCTGCCCTGTCTGCAGTGGGCATGTGTTGGCGAGCAGATGCAGCTGAAATGCCAGCCAGTCAACCATCCTAGAGACAATTTGAAAAAGCAATGAAGAGCTAAAGATCTCTTTTATTTTACTTTCCAATTTGCCAATTTCACTTTTTTCGTTGAGTACCTATCATGTTCTGGACACCAGAGATACAGAGAAAGAACAAAGAACCATATTGTGTGCATAGGCTAAAAGCAAAGGAAATTAACTAGCTGACTTTTCCCAGATCTCTTCAAGTTATGCACAGTTTAGCTCTCAAAATATATGCATATCAACTGAATAGTGAAGAGCTGAAGATCTCTTTTATTTTACTTTCCAATTTGCCAGTTTCACTTTTCGTTGAGTACCTATCATGTTCTGGACAATAGAGATACAGAGAAAGAATGAAGAACCATATTGTGTACATAGGCTAAAAGTAAAGGAAATTAACTAGTTGACTTTTCCCAGATCTCTTCAAGTTATGCATAGTTTAGCTCTCAAAATATATGCATATCAACTGAATGGTGTTTGAAACATACTGATTCATCCTGGTAAATCAAGACTATGGCACTTATTGTCTAGACTGTTGACATAGCCTTCCTACTAGGTGTCACTGCTTCTATTCTTTCTTCATTATAGTCTATTCTCCACACGGCGGTCCCTGGCCTTGGACACCAAGAGAATGGTGAGGAAGCAAAAGTCCTGGGCTTAGCCTGTGAATGTTTCAAATGGCCAGAGACCACTACACTGAGACCAGACAGACTAGCTGCCTTCCTCCTTTAAATAGCAAAATTGTGGGGGAAAAGCATCACGTAAGGGGAACTTACAGTGTTCCTTAAACAAACTTTACTTTTCCTCTACAAAGTTTTATTAGAAATTTGTAAAGGCTGATGTGTCTAACATCCACATGTTTCTGTCACTACTTTTAAGTGTTAAAATGTCTATCATGTTCTCTCTCTGCCACCATGGTAATTTCTCACAGCCTTCATATGCTTTCATTTCAGTTGTCACGAGTAGTCCTGCAGCTAAAGAATACACTGTTGATATTGAGATCAGTTTTGAAAATGCCTCCTTCCTGGAGCCTGTCAAAACTTACTTGAATAGCCTCACTTTTCCAATTCGAGTCAATGACAGTGACCAAGCTACTAACATTTTGAGCATGGAGGTGACAACAGGTGAGTAAAAGACCCATTGCTTTGGAATGGCGGATTGGGCATATCAGGAAAAAAGATGTCTGAGATCCTTAGAATGAGAGCAAATTATACTTTGTAGGCAAGGGAAATGATCCAACAGGCCTGATATGTGATCCTATGATTTTGTAGCTTTTTAGATGAAGTCCTTATTGGTAAACTCTGCAACCGGTTTCTTTATTTTAAATGGTTAGCAAATGTTTACTTTGTGGTTTGTTTATTGGTTGTCACAAAGTGGTCCCAAGATATGGTCATGACAAACTACTGGGTCCTCTCACCCTGGGTAATCAGGAGGTATAGCAAGGACTGGTTCGGGATATTAATAAGTAGCAAGTTCCCTTGTTGGGGACATCATAGGTCAGGAAATAGAAAATGGGTACATGCCTGGATGAGAAGCAAGGCATTAACTTTCTGGTCACTGACTCCCTTTCAAGGTCATATCAGCTCTCCTATGTCTCAGAGGACATCACATGTATGCAGTAGAAGCTGTGACATGGTATAACCCTTTGTCCTATAAAAGGTTACTGCTTTGTAAATGGCAAAGCACTACAGATGTTAGGCTTTATTATTCTAAAATGGAGGCAAGAATAAAATTCTTGTTTTTCAAAAATCTTTTCAAATTTTTATATTTAAAATAGTCTATCACAATGTCAGTCTATGCATCTTAATTTTTAGTTCTTAGCATATGCTGTTTGAGCCTGAAATACCTGTCTTATAGCTCCCTTTGGATTTCATTTCTCAGCAAATTCTACATTAGCATTAATTTCCTTGAATTACCGGCTCTGTAATCAGATGCCAATGTGCACTGAGTCATCCCGTAGCCAAAAGCCTATTCCGTGTTCCTCAAGTGCATTTGCACACAGGACTCTTCCGTAGACCATTTCACAAAACTAGTTACGTTGGCACATTATAGGAAACATCCTTCTATGTTCCCATAACACAGGCCTTCTGCCTCTGAAATTATTTCCCCCACTTATGTGAAAAAGTTAATAATTTAATATATGTGTAGTCAATTTTGTTTTGCTTCCCATTTTTTAAGGAAACCTTTGGTATCTATTTGGGTACCAGAAAGCAAATCTAGTAAACAAAACAGACCAGTAAATATCAATAAATAAGTCATTTGTTTTCATTGAGCAGCTTGTGATTATGAACATTTGAGCTTTCGTTGTGAGCTTATATTACATACATTCGATATAGACATATTAACAAACTCTCCCTGGTTTATTTTGTTCTATTGGAGGAGGCTTGACTTCAAGGGATTCTACTATTTAGGTCATTTTAGAAGCATTGTGAATCCAAGTTTACAAGTTGGGTTAACAAGTTTATGACTTGGATAAATAAGTTTCTCTTTTAAGATGCAAATGCCTGGGAGGGTTTAATTATCTTGCCAACAGGACTGGTCATTCACCGTTGAAAGGGTGAATCCCTTCTGATGGCTGAGAGATCTTGAGGCTCATGGACCTCAGGGCCAGCTGGGAAGGCTGGGTAGAGTAGACTTAGAGAGAAGCCAGTGAGGTGGATGGGTAACGAACATTAGATTTACTGGCTATGATGCAAATGTCTAAGTGTCCCCAAATCTTCTCCATTCCCCTCTTCTCAGGCTTCCGCCTGCCCATTCTTCCAATGGCTGACCTTCTGATCCTTTTTAGAAAGACATTTTTAATAATAGCAAACAAAACTGAGGCATTTTAAAACCAGACAGTATGTGTAAAGCACCAAAAAATACCTGGAATGCAGTAGGTGGTCTGGAGTTGATAGCTTTTGTCATCCTCTTAAAACAAATTTGTCTTTTACATGAGAGTCAGAAGTTCTTCAAATACTACCCCTACATCCTTCTCAAAAATGAACAAACAAAAATGAAATAAAAAGTGTTTTCTCAGTAGAATTTCACATCAGTAGGAAAGAGTTTGCCAGAGGGGGCCTTGTTGGCTCCCTTCCAATCCTCCCTGCTGATGCGCAGCACCCTCGCTAGCTGCCTTGATTTCCTCTGTTCCTTATGTTTCTGCTCAATTCCCACCTACTTCTGGAGCACAGGATTGCAAGAACTCACTGGAACTCTCTTGTTCCTCCTATTTCAGAAACAATTATTCTCTGGCTTTCCTTCAGATAGTCACTCTGCTGAGCCTTTATCTAGATGCCCATTTGCAGAACAAACAGCTCAGTGATATGACTTTGGTCCAGTTTTAGAAATAAATTCAAAGCCCTCTGTTTCCAGAGCATTTTTCAATACCCCCGTAGCATCAGGGTCTGTTTGGGCTGCTCACATTTGACTTGAAATGTAAAAGGCGCAATTTTACTTCTACTCTATATTTGTTATCTATTGCTGCATAACAAATTATCCCAAACTTAACATTCAAACAACAAAAATGTATTATGTCACACAGTTTCTGAAGGCCAGAAATCTGGGAGGAGTTAAGCTGTGGCTCTAGCTCAGAATCTCTCATGAGGTTATAGTCAAGCTGTCACCCAGAGGAGCGGTCATCTGAGGCTCATCGGTGGGTAGAAAATCCACTGCCAAGCACACTCATGTGGTTGTTGGCAGGCCTCGTTCCTCACTAGTTATTGGCTGGAGACCTCTGTTCCTTACTCTGTGGGCCTCACCATGACATGTCCTCATGTGATGACAGCTGGCTTCCCCCAGAGCAAGTGGTCCAGGAGAGAATGGGAGAGAGCCACCAAGATGGAAAAGCCACACTGTCTTTCATAACCTAATCTCAGTAATATACCAGCATGTCTGCTATATTCTGTTGGTTACACAGACCAACCCTAGTACAATATGAGAGGAAACTATAAAAGGGTGTGAATGAATATCCTGGGGCAGGGATGATCAGGGAAGGCTGGCTATTATACACTGTATGTCCAGGAATCTGTTTATCACATTGTCATTGTAGGAATCCCCTGGATTAGTGGAAGTAGTCATCTTTTAGACGGTCTTGCCTAATAGCATGGTAACGCATATGGGAATCATGGGAATCGCATGTAGTAGTACTGAACTTCCCAGAAGGGCATTAGGGAGGGAAGTTAGTCTATAAATACTTGTAGTCTATAAATGCAAAAGGGGTGACCACCTTCTCTCTCTTCACTGGTCTCATTAATGATAGTCTGCAGACCTACTGGAAATGAAATCTGGTGCTCCTGTGAGACAGGCTATAGGTGGCCTCAGGAACAGTGCCTCCACAATCTCACTTGTCAAGAGCATGACAACTCCCCTGCAGGGAATCACTGCAGTTGCCTTAAAGGACTGCCTCCCAAAGGACCTTTTTGCCAGCTCCAGGGAGGTAAGTAACTGCTCATTAAATGTTCAATTGTTGAGTGGCTATTTAATATCAGCTCAAGCAAATGGTTCTCTGTCCTGTGTCCACTTAAATGCTAATGTGCGATTTTGAAATATTGCCCTGTGTTTTTCAGCTGTTACCCTGAGAATGTTGGTCAGACTCAATGTGGGCTTTCAAGAAGATCTCAGGAACACTTCCTCTGCCCTCTACAGGTCCTACAAGACTGACTTGGAAAGAGCAGTAGGTTTTGGTCCCAGGAGCCTCCTAAGCAACTAACGGTTCAGGCTGAACTGAGTCTATTGCATTGACAGTAGATGGTTTGCTTGGATCTGCCAGAATTTACGAATGTGGATGTCCAAGCTATTCCTATACATCTAGGATGATGAACTAAGAGGTGCTCAAATAAGACTATTCAGGAGATGATTTGACCTATAGGTCATCTTGACCTATAGGTGAAATTCTTCCCAGGGTAGAATTAATTCAGATAAGATTTGGTGGCATCAACTCACTGAAACCTATTCAGAGGCCCAAGAATCTGGTCTAGAAGCACCAGATGGTGCATTTCTATTTGTCTCCACACACCACATGGATGAAACCCCTAACATCTTTTGGGCAGACCAGCTTAAAACTGGCACAGAGAGTTCCAAATCACTCTACACTAGAGGTCCCTAGGCATTCACATTTAAGATTTTAATTTTAGTCACGTAAAAATAGAAAATGTCTCTATTGTTAACTGTGTGCCAAACACTGTTCTAAATGCTTTACATTTGATTAATTCACCCAAACCTAAATGTTTTGCTTGAGTTAACTCATTTGGAATAGAGCTTTCCAGCTGGTGTGGCACAAATTATTACAGGTGGGCTAAAATAATGACTTGCCTTAACTCTGGGCAACTGAGCCCTTGCCTCAGGCCAGGAGGAAGCCAGGGACTTATCCCAATGTGTCATACAAATATTATAAATTTCCATGGGTGCCATGATGAAATGCTGATACAATAGTATTCTTAGACATCTGATTTGCATATTTGGCATGTAATAGTTCATGAGAACCCTCCTCACACACACACACACACACACACACACACACACACACATGCATACACACACTCCACACTAAATTGTATACTTTGAGAGAAGAAAGAGTTACATATTAATCTTTGGATCTCACTCATCCAGTGCTTTGAACATCACACCTGCCCTATAAATGTAATTTCTAATCAAACTGAATCTCCTGTAGGGTTGATATTCAGAGAAATGAAGTAGAGTAAAAATATCATTGAAAACCATATTGGCTCAACCAGTGCTGCAATATATTAAGTGAGGGATCAGGCAGTGTGGTGGCCATAAGAACACCCCTTATACATCTCTAACTATAAGGAATGTAATTGACCAAGGGCCCCAGCTACTGCCTCTGAAAGCCATGACAGTGCTTGCTGCTCTCTGTTGATGAATGAGCATGGCAGGTCTATGTCTGGCAGACATAGACTCCTCTGAAAGCTTTACTGAACTGTCTCAGGCTGAGTCTGGGATGAATCCATTTAACTGTTTTTCCTACTCTCTTTCACTCGGGGTCTGATGTTTCTCTCTGCCTTCCCACTGCCTCCCTCACGCTCTTTCCGAGGCATTTTCCTGAGTAAATTTCTTGCATGTTTAATCTGGTGTTTGCTTCTTGGAGAACCCAGACTGACATAGGTAGATAGGAATTACTTCGTCAAAGACCTGCCAATGCCAGTGCTCGTAAATAAAATATACAAGAGAATATTTTGCTTAGGGTTATAGGAATATGCACTTTTTACTCTGTTTTAAATCTTTGACATCTCTCTCACTAGACCTTGATACATGACACTTGTCTTGCTTTATTTTCCAGTTCCGGAAAGGTTACAGTATTTTACCGGGCTTCGAATCTGTGACTGTGACAGGGTTCAGGTAAGAAAGCTGTAATTTCGTCATTTCTATCCAATGGCAGAAGCCAACTCATTAGTGAAAGAAGAAAGCCTATTAGAAGGGCATCATCTGGGGGGCTAAACAGGACTGGTTTGGTAGAGGTGAAGACAAGACCAGATTGCTGGGGCTTAAAGAGACTTAAATATTGAGAACCGTAACTCACTACTTAGCAGGAAGGTAAAAAAAAGACTCATGTTTATTCTATGCACACAAGCATTTTACAAAGATATGAGATAAGTTTATAGTTTAGAGAGTTCAGAAATATAAAAGTGAAATAATCTCTTGCAATGATGCCTTTATTGAAGAAAAGTTGGCCAGACAGCCATGACCACAGATGCATGCTGTAATGTAAATTGCACCACCCTGGAGTTGGGCACCCTGGCAGACCTGAGAAGGTTTGCACAGTATTTCAAAAAATTAGTTGCCAATCTTAAAAATTAAGAGTGTTTACAGAAACATTTAGGATTTTGGCTTCACTTGACATTCAGCATATCTATAACCCTGGGCCAGGCCCGCATGGCTGTGTGACAACAATCTCTGCATTGTGGCTGCTACCTTATGACCAGCTTATGTGATTCAGTTCACTCATGCCCGTCTGGCTATTTCTTTCATTTGCATTATCTGTCTGCAGACATATGAAAGTGCAAGCTCTGCCTTGGGCTTCCAATTAGAGATTTAAAACACGTTGATTTCAGTGAACCTTTGATGAAAAAAGTACCCAGGCTGTTTCTGCCGTTTTGTTTTCCCATGCAATAAATCATAAAGATCTAGACTCTTCCAGGTCACTTACTGCTTTACTGAACCGAGTGGTCTCCATCCAGGCCCGGAAGTGTGTTTGTGAGATATGAAATCAAGACTACAACACCATCACCTGAATTAATGCGCAAGGCGAATGAGCAAGTGATGCATAACCTTAATCAGACCTACAGAATGGACTACAATTCCTTTCAAGTAATTCCTAGTAGTAAGTAGAACATTGCTACATTTTTCCTATGCATAGATTCTATTTAGATATAGCAATGGTGTTTATCATGATGTTTAACCTAGGAAATTACATTAAGATGTCCTCTGTGGAGAGAGTCTCCAGTTCCTGAAATAGAAGGTTATGGGTCATCTCCTTGTCTTAGGCTGGCACAGAGCCTCCCAACAGGACTAATGTCACTAGTGGTGAAAGGTTTGCAGGGAGAGAGATTTTATAAGGAAGCCAAAGAGCCATCTTGGTTTATAGATTTTTAAATACTCACAAAAGGCCCAAAACATCCAAAAAAAGTAAAACCAACATTGTGGTGGGAGTTGGGATATGAAATGAAATGCAATGATATTAAATAGGAGGCCATTGTTGTTTTAGAGCAATGGTTCTCAAAATGTGGCCCCAGCATCATCTGGGAACTTGTGAGAATTGCAAATTCTTGGGGCCACCCTAGATCAACTAGGACCAGTCTGTATTTCAGTAAGCCCTTTAGATGATTCTGGTACACAGGAAAGTTTGAGAACCGCTGCTTTGGATCACATATAACAGTGGTAAGAATCCTAGGATTTTAGATGGTCTCCTCCATTTTATAAATGGGGTTCACAGTTGGGCTCTGCTGTGAGTAGGTGGATGGGCCTATTGTTGCTTGGGAGGTAGCAAGGGGAGTTGGCTGGGCAGAGATTTGATGGGCAGGAATTGGCTGGCAGATGTTTTGGGTAACTCAGGCCCATGGTCCCCCAGCGAAGGTGGCTCTCCTTTGGAGCAATGCGGTCCGCTGCGGGAGAGGGCGCCTCAAGAACCGCTGCACAACTGAGAGAAAGGGTGTCCTTTTCAGCAGGTAGGCTATCCTCAAAGCAGGTGTATATTCCTCCTCTTTACATTACCTGCCGATATTTTTAGACATCAGATTACTTTTGAAAATAAAATCTTGAAAGAGATATACACATGATAAGAAAGTGGTAACACACAAGCAAGATAAAATAGCAAAATAAAAATTCAGAATGAATAAGGCAGCGACAACAGAGATGAAAACCAGAAAATTAAAGGAAAGATAATAAGAGGCCTAAAAGTGTGCACTCACACAGAAACAATTTTAGCGATGCCACCACTTCCTGACCCCTAATACCATCTCACCAGCTGACAGATGCTTTGTCCTGGAAAATTCTTTTTATTTATGGTTCTGAGGATAGAAGAGAGCAGCAGTTTCTACCACAAGTAAGCTTCAATTATGATTATTCTTCCCCCCAAATTTCAGTTGTGCTGATGAAAGTCAGCCATTTAAATAAATAAGTATCCAGGAGTTTTACTGAAAGGTGGCTGTCAGTTCAGAAATAATGGCGCTGACAGTACAGTTCACAAAAGTGCTTTAATATCCATGGTTTATTCTTCCAAAGAGCAATGAAATGGTGGATGGTGCTCGATTTATATCTATCTATGTCCTCCTTTGAAGACCAGAATGTGATTCTGTGATATACACAGCCTTACACCAATAAACATGAATGTATGTCATGTGCAATACTAGTGGGGAACTCGGACACCATTCTGCTCTCCATAGCACTGCTGGTGTTTACCCAGAATATAAATATCCAAAAAAAGTCAAATGACTAAGTACTTTTTAAAAATTGTAATTACATTTGTCAGGCAGGAGAGAGGAAGAGAACAAGAATGAAAAAATGTTGAATGAATGAGTTGGGATCGGAAACTTATTTTTAAATTCATCTTTATGAAACATGAAGGGCACATGACAATCTTCACAATAGTTCCATTGATTTTGTCATCTATTAACCTCTGGTGATATTTGATTAATCAGCAGGGTCCCTTAACTAGACGCTCCTTTCTTTAATCACTCCCAATTCATTTCTGATCAGTTCCATACAACCAAATGATACCAGCAATTTTACTAATCATAGTAATTAGCAACAATAGTAATGAAAAGAGAGACATTATTACTGTATCTTTTCTATGTTAAGCCCATTGTGTTGCACGTATTTTATCTTCATATATTCCGTGAGACAGATATTATTATCTTCATTTTACAGGTGAAGAAAGGGAGGCCCAGAGAGGGTAAATAATTTGCTCAAGGACACATAGTAACTCAAGTTTGTGTGACTTCAAAGCCAGTTCACTATATTAAATATTTGCAGATGGCCTTGATTCCTAATAGTTGAACGTGATTTTTAAAAATCTTATTTTACTGTGGAGGCCACCCCCCCAAAAGTGATAAGAAATATTTAGATACCTTGATAATTTAACCAGAACATCATACCACCACAAATTAATTTTATGGTGTTTCAGCCCCATGTTTACAATATGGAGAGCATCTGACCTGAGCATGAGGCCCTGTGCGTATGAGGCCTCATGGAGCCTCCTTACCCAGCTCCTCTGATTTCCTCAACACATGGAACTCAGGGCACAAGAAACAGCTTGGAGGGGAAAAAACTGCCTGTTGTATAAGCAAGGACAACTTTGAAAGACACATAAAAATAACAAATATCGTGTTTTTATTTCTGTGAGATGACTTAATGCAGTGGTTCTCTAGAATTTTACTGTGAAATAATAATAGAGACTATTCCCCAAAATCACCTCCCAAGGTAGCTTGCACTGCTTTCCAGACAAGGGAGATAAGGCTCAGAGAGGCTAAGCAAGTTGCCCAGGGCCACACAGCTGAATGTAGCACAGAACAAGGATTCAAATCCAGACCTATATGTGTGTCTATAAAGTTCCCACACTTAAAGGCCCATGGGCATTGGGTCTTAAAAAATTGTTTCCCAGGAAGACTTAATTATTTAAAATTTTTTCCCCTATTTCTAATACATGAAAAACATAGAATAGAGCTTTCAGCTATCATGAGATACCAGTTATTGATAAAAAGCAGCTGATATTCAAGACAGGAACAAAGAAACTTGATATTTGTTTCTAGTGTGTCTTTTTCATAAGCAAATGAGCAGTTTTCTACCAGACTATTCGAAATACTGAAAATAGCTTTAGGACCCCCATTTCTACCACTTAGGACTCTTAAATGTGTACAGACTCCCAAAAGGAAGCCATGTCCCTGGTATCTGGCAGGCTGCCCCTCGTTGGGCCTCAGATACCAGCTGTCTGGGGATGGAATGAGAAGGGCGCATTGCCTTATCTTTGTCAGCACCACAGAAGCAGTGCCAACCTCCTGAGAACATTTGTGGGGATGGCATCTGGTGAGTAGCACCAATTACATTTATTTGCTTTGGAATCCTCATAATCCTTTTCTTTGTGTTTCCAGATGAAACTAAGTTCTCTATCATACCAGAAATCATCTTTGAAGGGGATACAGTAACTCTGATGTGTGAAAGTGAAGTTTTGTCCCCCAACATGTCCTGGCACCATGTCCCAAGGCACTCTGACATCCAGAACAGCAGCAGATTCTCGATTTACAGCTCTGTGTTCAACAATGTGACCTCGGTATCACACCTCATTATTTATAACATCACTCAAGAGGACGCAGGTGGGTTTCTATTCAATGACTGGTGGCAGGGAAGGAATGAAGAGCCCATAAAGAAGCAAACCGTAGGAAGTGTGTATGACATTTTCCTCTTGGAAAAGAAGTCACCAGGCTCCATTTCTCAAAACTGAAAATAATCTCATAGCATATCAGCCAAGCAAATTTAGCTTTGGGAGACAAATACAGTTTTCCACATTTACTGAGGCTTATGAGTTGGAAACTGAGACTAAAACCAGACTTTTGTTTTTTAATTTTTTTTTTTAATTTTAAGACAGCTTTGTTGAGGTGGTACCGACAATAAGCTGTACACATTTAAAGTATACGATTTAATAATTTTTGACATATATATACACCTGTGAAACTATCATCATAATTGGAATAGTGAGCACATCTATCCTACCACCCATTTTTTTATACTCCATTATAATCCCTTCCATTTGCCCCCACTTGTCTGTCCCTCCCAGCCACTGTAGAAGCAAGTCTTAAACCTGACATTCTAGAATTTAATAACCCCATCGTAATCCAGAATGAGAAGTTTCTCTGAATGAGAAATTGGGTTGTGGACACATGGGTCCTATCATATCTTTGTCAATTCGGATTTTACCCAAATTATCCACAATCTTCTAATTCTCCAAGGCTTTCCAATTTTTCCTTTCTATTTCGTCTATCCCCACATTTTTCTCTTACCAGCAAAGCCTCTGAGATTTCTGCTTTTTCCTTAGAAGATCCCTCTACTTTTTACCTTGTAACATCAGAAATATCTGCACTGACTTGCATTTCCTACATGTTCCTCTAGGGTTGTTTAGACCAAGTCTCAGATGCTTTTGAAAATGGTGTTTTTTGAAGCACTGACATGACACATGAGATGAGGCTATTCTTCTTCTAAGGTGATACATGTATGTAGTAATAGTAAATGCTTTTGTGTATTCTTTGCAGGTGAATATAGTTGCAAACTGACATTAGATATTTTTGAATATGAGTCAAGAAAAAGAATTAATGTTACACCCATCCGAATTTTGGCAAATGAAGAAATGAAGGTGACGTGTGATAACAATCCTGTATCTTTGAACTGCTGCAGTGAGATTAGCGTTAACTGGAGTAAAATAGAATGGAAGCAGGAGGGGAAGATAAACATTCCAGGTAAGAACGTTAGATACCCTTTTGCAAATAGGTTTTTGCCTTTTGGCCAAGAAAAATTGGGAGATGCCGTGAGTAAAAGAAGAAATGTCAGATGGCTGTTTTTTTTTCCAGACTACAGACTGTGAAAAAGTACTAGGTTTGATGCCAGCTCCAGCTTAGCCATTCTAGAACAAAATTCCAAAAATATGTACATACAAATGTCATGGATTGTAGACAAGATGCTGGCAGAGAAGACCCAAGAGGGAGTGACCTGATAACTTAGCTTCATAACATCTCCAGCCTACAGAAAATCTTGTCCCCCCCTTCCTTTCCTTTCCCTCCTCAGCATAGAGCTAAGGGTGAGTCATTGGCTTTGCTTCAGGAGTCTGCCTTGGAACTTCTCATTTCTGTGTCTCTTCTCTTGCTGTCTGTCCTTCTCATTCTTCTGCCTTTATATCCACACTTTCTTCTATATTATCTAAGTTTGGGTCTCTGGGTTTTTGGTTTTTTGTTTTTTTTTCCTCTCTCTGTGTAGACCTGTTTGCCTTTCAATTGTTTCCTGTCAATTTCTGATCCTGTTTGCTTTTATTTTAGATCTGAGGTCATACTTGAATTCCCTACCACCCCTTCAGGTTTATACTGATGAATGATAATAATAATAATAAATTCAAATAGAAATGCTGACTCTGTTTTATGTAACAGTTTATAATTAACCAATTAAAAGAAACCCATATTACTTTTAATCACATTTAAACTTGACCACAAGTTTGAAGCTGGCATTTGTTGCCTCCAATTTTCAAATAAGAAAATTGAGGTCCAAATTAAATGACTTATTCAAGGTTGTCACAAGAGGGAAAGAAAAAGAATTGGAATTCACATCAAGCCTTGTTTCATAAGACCAGTGTTTATCTTGGCCAAACTATATTATCATGTCTGGTGAGCCAGCACTGGAGTGAGCTGACTTTTTGGAAGAGTTTGTACTGAAGCAGAAGATTGTTTTCTACCTAGAACCCTCATGTAATAAGATCCAGTCCTTCCCTTAAGAAATGACAGTACTAAGTATTCATCTTTGCATTAAAAAAAATAATAATAATAATTAAAGTAAAATGTGGCTTTACCCATGAACTACATTAGTGTTGGCAGAGACTTTATATTACAAAGACTTTGCTAACAGACTATATTAAATTATAAAAATAAAATAATGATCAATTTACATGCAACTTTTCCTGAGCACAGCTGTTTTGCAAAGCATATTTCAGCTGCAGCATTTGTATTCAACTTTAAAGCACTCATAAGAATGGGAAAGGCATCTTATAACTATTGAAAATGTTGACACATGGTACATTTAGTCACTTCCTTGATTTTTAAGGAAGAGGAGGTGTGAGCATCCTGAAGGAACTGCCAGATGGGAGAAAGACCTTGCAAACTCCCGTGGTATTGACTTAGAAGCTTTCAACTCAGAGATGAAAAGCCTTGCTCTCTGGTAGAGGAACCAGGAAGTCTGCAGTGCAGATGCTCAGGGACCTCTCTGTAGCCACCACTTCTTCAGACATTCCTAGTGCCCAGTGTTGGCTGAACCGACTGCAGAACAATGGATTTCCTGTCACAGGGCTGGCCGCCTGGGACCTACAGAAATCAGGTCTCTGATGAATTTAGCTTCTGCTCTCTGCACCCTGCCCTTCTCCCCTGTCCCGTGCTGCCCCCTCTCTACAGCAATCTTTTTCCAAATTTCCCAAGTGCTTTAGCAGCCATTTTTTTTCTGGTCAGTAGGAAGCAATCTAGATAAATAATTCACCCCAAACATTTGAATGTGTTACCTCTTCCCAAAACAGATGTGTTCATTTTCAAAACACTCTGGAAGGAGGTAAGACAGAAAGGAGTAATCGGCAATGGTCGAATTTCTAGCTTTAAGAGAGGGGGTTTCTTGAACAGGGAGGGATTTTTGTGGTTTTTCAAGTCAGTGGGTGCCAACTATGATATTAATGATAGTGGTAGCAGAAGTAATACGGTAGTGGCCCCTTATCCATGGGAGATACATTCCAAGACACCCAGTGGATGCCTGAAGCCACAGATAGTAAGTACTACACCCTTGATATACTGTTTTTTTCCTATGCATACATACCTATGCTAAAGTTTGATTTATAAAATAGGCACAGTAAGAGATTAAAAATAACTAATAGTAATTGGATGCCTGAAGCCACAGATAGTAAGTACTTTTTTCCTATGCATACATACCTATGATAAATTTTGATTTATAAATTAGGCACAGTAAGAGATTAAAAATAACTAATAGTAAAGAAAAACAATTATAACGATGCGTTATAATAAAAGTTATGTGAATGTGGTCTCTCTCAAAATATCTTACTATGCTGTACGTACGGCATGGATTTGCTAGACAAAAAGATGATTCACATCCTGGGTGGAACGGAGCTGGATAGCACAAGATGTCATCACACTACTGAGAATGACGTGCAATTCAAAACTTATGAATTGTTTATTTCCGGAATTTTCCTTGTAATATTTTCAGACCATAGTTGACTATGGGCAGCTGAAATGGCAGAAAGCGAAACTTCAGATAAAGGGGGACTACTCTAGTATTAATAGTAGTAGTAATAGTAGTAGTAGTAATAGCACAGGTAATAATTGTTGGTATTATTAGTGCAGGTTGTAGTTTTTCTGTATCCAATACTAACTCTGCTTGTATAGGAATGTACTGACAAGCTGAGGGAATTTAGGGGCAACAGAGTTCACAGACTCACCATAGCTATTCTTATGTGGTATGATGATAAAAAACAATGAAGCCTTAATTCCCACTTTGCCCACACGTTAGGACACTTCCCAAATGAGTTCATAAACCTCTTCGTGGCGCATCCACATTCCCTTGGCCCATCATCATGCAGAATATTTATAAAACAATTGAATCTTTACAAGAGGGTGTCAGCTCCCTCCTGGCTGACTGTCAAGGCATATGACAACGTGAAGCAGCATACTGAGTGACCTGTGAGGGGAAACAGGCTCAAACTCCATGACCTCCCTTTTTGTGTCTTTCTCCCCAATTACCCCACTTAAGCTTTTTAGTTTGTGTTATAGTGTGTGATCGTGTGCTGTCTAAATGTTCTTTTTGCAGCCAAACAGAGCATAAGTAAGAGATAAAAAAGTAAGAATGCCTTTTTTCCCTTATTGAATGGAAATCAGTCTTGTGGCTTTCAAGTCACTTTATAAAGTGCCACTAGAAGCAGGCCTGCCTCAGGGACTAAGGTGAGACCTAAGTAGAGAAGCAACTAGAATTAGCAAGTAGCTGGTTAGAGGCAGCATTCTCATTGTGGCTGCACATGAGGCTCAGCTTTTTTGCTTTTTAAAAAGACCAGGTGTCAGAGCTCCCCTCTGGAGCAACTAAATCAGAATCTCTGGGACTGGGCTCCAGGCAGTGGCATATTTTCTTAAATTTCACAGGAGATTTTACTGGGCAAAGGGGCATGGGAACCATGGATTTAGTCCAATCTTTCATTTACACACTAGAAAATTGAGGTGTTCGGGGTCTCCCTGACAGTGGCAAAGTGTGCCATCTCCTTCCCCACCGCTTTCTCTCCTTCTCCACCGTGTCCCTCTCTGTGTTCCTAAGTGATGCCATAGATGAATCTGATTTTAAATATCGATTCCACAAAATTGGATTTAAAAAAAGGAAAAGGGAAAAGAAAGAACTTTAGCCATGTCTTCTGGAAAAATCAACCTTACAACTCATGCTTTCCAGTAAGATAGTCTAGGGTCCTGAAAAGCTGTGATTCCAGGCCGGGAATGTGCCCTCTTCCTGGTGCAGGAGCTGGGTCATGTCATTGACTTTAGTTTACTAAATAATGATAATGGTTCCTACTTCACAAGACTTCTGAGGGGTGAATAACTGAGATGATAAATGTAAACATTTAAAACAGACCTGAATACCGTGAATCTGCCACGTGAATCTGCCACAGTAACTATTTTCTGATGATGATAGCTTTAACCCCTTTCCCATTTGTCCCGAGAATACTTGCTGGAGGCTCTTGTGCCTGCAGTATTTACCCCGAGATAACTCACAAATTACAGTCCTAACCTAACCCTCAAAGTTTGCCACGAAATACCTCGCTTTTATTATTATTTTCGCATCACTCTACTATATCGATAATCTTTGGGAACAAATGCTGTAAACGAATGATGGCAAGAGGATTCGGAGAGAAATGTGCTATTTTTGTGTGGAACGTGATGTCCTGCTTTGTGTTGTTCTGTGCTTTGAAATTTACCACACACACAAAAAATTATTAAATTCTGATCATCATATGTATTTCTGTTACATTAGGATTAGAGACAAGTTCTAGTTAGAAATAGCTCCAAGAACAGTTTTTATATTTTATTTTCACATCGAAAACCAGTCAAAGAGCATATTTATGTAAAATTAAATTAACACTGGCAGCAAGCTGCATGTTTTTTTTTTTTTCTCTAAACAAGAAATGAGTTAAAAACCATGCCCTCGCTTTCCTTTGCGGTGGTGGGAAATCTTCCTTGGATATTATCCGACCTTGAGCAGCATACTCGTAATTGCATACCATCCCTTCTTCAGAAAGGGACACTTGCTTAGCTGCATTCAATACTTTCTGGGCAAGACCCCGAGGTGCACAGCTCCAAGGATATTGTATGAAATACAGTGTGAATGCCGCCAATTCAGAGGTCCCACTTTTGTTTTCCGAGTTTACGATCTCTTTGGAACCTTATCTCCACTCTCCCTACAGGTTTTAGCCTCACAGAAATACTAGTTTTCCCAAACAAGACAAGCATGCTGCTGCTTCTGTACATTGGCTTATATCAGTGGTTTCTGATTTAACTGTAGAATCCTTTTTTTAATCAAAATCTTGTGTGGTTGTTTAATGTGGGGTTTCCCAACCTCAGCATAGCAACATTTTAGATCATTCTCTGTTGAGAGGCCCTGTCCTGTGCATTGCCAAATGTTTATCAGCATCCTCGGCCTCTACTCACTAGATGCCAGTAGTACCCTCAGTTATGATAGACAAAAATGTCCCCGGATATTGCCAAATGTCCCCCAAAGAGGCAAAATTGCCACTGGTTGAGGATTACACATCTGATATGTAAAGCAGACCAGAGTGGGGCTACTTGAGTTATAGAAAAGCTATAGAGCCCACATGGCTTATTACCCTCCCACCCCCGAACCCAGCCCCAGCTCCTGAAGCAGGTTTGTGGAATACCCAAGTTCTCCAAAGAGGGCTGATTCACACACACATAACCCGCATAGAACTGCATATCAGAACATCACAGCCATCATTTCTATCTGTGTCTTTCAAGTCCTAGAGCAAATCGTCCCTCTTCTCTGAAATCTTGCCTAGTCTCCCAGCTAAAACTTCCCTCCTTTAATCTTCATAATATATTCATTTCACTCTTATGAAATTTATCTAGTGTGTATTATAATTATTTCTGTACATCTCTTTTATGCTCTATCTTACATAGCTCATTGTCTTGCACATTAGTTTAGTGAGAAAAGCTGAGCTTGAAGGATGAGTAAAAGTCAATAGGAGGAGGGATGGAGAATATTCCAGGTTTGAACACAGGTATAAAGTACGAAGCTACAGGGCATGCTGAAGTTCCAAGAGTTGACCTGGTTTTTAAAAGAGTAATATAGATGAGATAAAGAGTACAAAGGCAGATTGGAATTATACTGTGAATAAATACATATACCACACTAAGGAGATTTTAGTTTATTTTGTAGACAATGATGAGATTTTAAAGATAAAAGGAGAGAATGGCTGATCAGGGATGAATGGGCTGAACTTTAGAAAAGCGAATTTAGAAAATAAGAATAAAAATAAAAACAAATTTTAAGCTAGTGTAGCCAATAGATTGAATGGGGCAAATAACCAAAATAAAGACTCAGTTACAACAGCATGCAATTGGGGCCCAGGCGAGTGACCATGAGTTGGAGTGGATAAGACAGTTATGAGATGTTTTAGAAGTATAACCTGAAAAATGTTACAACTGATTGGAACTGGAATGTGAGGAAATATAATTAAAAGCGACCTCAAGATTTTTAATTCTGTGAACTGCCAATAGCAAAGAGAAGAAACATTAGAACATGGATGGGTTTTGTCTATGGAGAAGAAAGACAAGTTCTTAGTGGGACATGTTGAGTTGGAGGTACTTCAAATTCAAAGTGATACCTGAGAACCTGCTTCTGGGTTTCCAACAAGAGTGTTTCTCTTAGAGATAGAGGGGCTGGTTATCCAAATACAGGATATAATAGAAGCCATGGGTGTAGATGAGATTGCCCAATGAGAGAGAAGAGAAACAGATAAGGAAAAGGTCAATATCAGAATGCTTGGGGCAAAGTCACTATCCTGGGAGACAGCAATATTTATGAAGTAGCCTAGGAAGTAGACCCAGAAATAGGGATAAAGAGAGAAGAGAAGCAAGAAAGACTTGTGGAACTGAGTGAGCCAAGTCACAGAGAAGGTGATCAACAGAACAGGATGCTCCAGGTAGCATGAGAAGAAGCCACTGGATGCGAAAAAGAGGAAATCACAGTTGACCTTAAAGAACACTTTAGGTAGAGTATAGGAGAAAGAAAGTAAATTACAATGGTCTGAAGAAAAGTGGGAGTGGAAGACTAAAGGTGACAAATGCAGAGCTTTGCAGTGCAAAGAGAGAAAGAAAATGCTGTGGTGGCTAGAAGAGCTTTCAGATTTGGGAGACAGATTATTTTAGGAGGGGAAGACTTGAATATATTTGGTGGTTGGCATGAAAATCTCCAGGAAAGATTAAAAACACAAGGGAGAGGAATGATAAAGGATAGAATAAGGCCTGGAGGAAATCGAAGAAGTGAGTTTGCAGAAAATAAGTGGAGGAGTGAGCCATAGAGATAAGTAGAAACACTTGTGCCTATGAACTAGGAGGTAATTTAGTTAAGGTGGGTGAAGATGAAAATCAATTTTGTGTTTTTGAACAACCATTTTGGAGACTGAAGAGAAAAGCTGGCTATACATCAATCAAATTATTTCAAATACCACTGATTATCCAACTGAGACTGAAAAAAATGCATTTACATTGGTTTATTATGAAGGTTTATTCTTTTTCCTTAAATTTTGGAAGATTGACAGTGTTTGAAGGATGCCTTAAGAACACATGGCAAGTCTATGGCCATGCCACCTTGAACAAGCCCCATCCCGTCTGATCTCAGAAGCTAAGCAGGGTCGGGCCTGGTTAGTACTCGGATGGGAGACCACCTAGGAAGACCAGGTGCTGTAGGCATAAAAATAAAAAATAAAAATAAAAAATAAGGGATTATAAACTGACAAGATCCTTGCAATCTGTGAGGTGAACCAAGGGATGCCTCACCTAAAAAAATAAAAAAATAAAAAAATAAAGAATACATGGCAAGATTGGAGGAGAGAGGGACGGCAGTAGAAGGCATCCGCCAGGGGGATATTATAGAGCCATAGGCAGGAAGTAAAGGTGGCTTAGAGGACATGTCATCTGGGGAATGAAAAGCAAGATATTTATATGGAAGAGGAGCTATTTTTTAGAGGAAATGGCTGGTAACCTATAAAAGTGAGAACTTAAGCTTCCACTAAAACATATAGACTAATAAGAGGAAACAAATTTTTCAAATGAGATGAATATAAGATGTTTCAGTCTTATGTCTTCCTCCTTTCAATAATAATAATAATAATAATGATAATAGTAATAATAATTTAACTAATCTGACATTTTTTCTTTTTAGTTGAATCATAACCAAAGATCTTGTTTCTTTTTTTTTTAATTTAAAAATTAAAAAAAAAATTTTCACACTGATGATCATCACTAACGGGGCAGGCCTCAGCCAGGCGCTGTTCTAGGTAATTACATATATTAACTAATTTTATCTGATTACAGTCCTGGTCCATAGCTATTATTATTTCTCTCCATTTTACATCTGGAGAAACTGAGGCATGGAGTAGTTTAGTGACTTTCTCAACAATGCCCTGCCAGTAAGTGGTAAGATCTGGGATCTGCAGCCAGACAACCTAGCTCCAGAGTCTGCAGACTTAACCATTGCACTGTCCTGCCAACTCTCCATTCAAAGAAAAAATATCTAATTTAAATCATTATTTTTCACTGATTTGGCCTCTGTTACTAAATCAGAGAGTCAACCAGCTGTGACAGCCAAAGAACTATTTATGTCATTGCAGGAAACTCTGAAACAGACTTAGATTCCAGCTGCAGTAATTACATTCTCAAGGCCGACGGAACTCAGTGTCTAAGTGGAACAACAGTCATCTATACTTGTGAGTTCATCAGTGCCCATGGAGCCCGAGGAACTAAGAACATAGAAGTGACATTTACGTCTGTGGGTAAGGACTCTTACTAGAATTTTTAGCCTTGCACCTCAAACCAAGGGCTGCCAGTCAACGGGGAACATCCATGAGCGATAAAGCAGGGGCTTCCCTGGTAGTGGGAGTGCTGTTGGGGTAAATCACAAAATGGGAAACAGAAGATTTCCCTCTCTGTCATTTAAATCAGATGAAGTCTTTCAAATCTGGAAGGGGAGGGGCAGGAAACAGTGGCCGAAGGGAAGGGAGAGCCTTCATTGTGCTGGTAAAACAGAAAGTGAACTGAGAAGCAGAGTTTCACACTCAGATTAGTCCCATTTGATCATAGAATTTATAAGGAAGAAAATACGTCTAACTTTCTTTTTCCTTCCATAATTTCATTCTCCCTCTCTGGGATTACAACAACATAGCTTGACTCATTCTGCACCACCCTTCACCTCTGTCTGTCCTTCTTCCTCTCCCACTTCACCTGTCCTAGGAAGAAGGCTGCACAAAGCTTTAACAATCTGATAGTTCATAGTTATTGTACAGTTGTAACAGTGTGTTTCAGTATTTCAATTAATTCAGCTTACTCAGGCTCCTTAAAAATAGCATTTATTCTCCTCATATCATAAAGCATTATAACTTTAGCTCTATTGGCAAAATAGGGCTAACTTGTTTTTCTACCCAGATTACAAAAATAAACTATTTAGAGAAATCATCAGACCCCACCTCTGAACAATTTTGAGAAAGGAATAATATAAATATACTTGTTACTCTCTTTCATATTTTTTATTACCGTGACTTGGAATTTTTAAAAAGAGCAAGATTAGGTTTACTTGAAAACATGATTGCCATAGAAGAGTTCATGGGTCTTTTCGAGCCGTTTGCAGTTGTCTGTAGTGAGAGTAATTTGTGCACTGCACGTTTTAACTCAGAGTTGTGTCCTTCGGTCGGCTTTTGGCTACCTTAGGGGACAGGTTTAGATTTCATTGAAAACCACTGGTCTGGTGGTTTGGACCTCACCTGAGAATCAAGGGAACCGTATTCATGGTTCCATGAGCCTTTTTCTCCTCTCTCTCTCTCAAGATTTGCTAAACCTTAGAAAGCCATCTCAAGATCCAATGTGAGGAACATAGTAATCTATGCTTGTATGACTTTGAAGCTCTATCTGAACATTCGAATCCCACTTTGTAAAATGTGTTATGGAAAGCCCTGATTTCTTTCGATTATGCTAAATGTAAGATTTTATACTGATTGGAAAAGTAGGCCAGCATCGGTGGACTTGAGGCATGAAGTTGTTTGCCTATGGAAGACAGAAGTGAATGGCATTTTGAAATGTCAACTGTGTAAAAGACATGTTTTAAGAGGAATGGAAAGATAGAGCACGAGGCAAAAATAGTGGCACTTTCATACGAGTTTTTATATTTGTAAAGGTCTTGTTACCATTTTTGGTGAGTAAAGCCTCACGAATAATTCCCTGAAAGAGAGATAAATAGAGAGAGACTGATAGTTAGGGTGCCTATGCAGCCTGGTTCGCCTGAGGCTATATAATTATTTGGGCGATTAACCCTATGATTCCCTTACTTAAAATGTAGTTCTAAGTAAGTGCTGACTGGGAACCCAGTGCTCAATGTTGGGGGTGCAGACACAGAAGAGAGAGTCCTGCTATTGAGGGGCTCACATTTTTATGGAGAAGAAATATAGAAAGACAGAAATGAAAATACAATGGGGTATTAATTTTTAAAATATTTAAAAAGACTAGAGAATGAAGTTGTTCCAAGAACTGAGCCATTTAGTATTCGTTAAGTTGTCGTGGAAGAGGTTGGAAGGGAGCTGGGTTTAAGACAACACCCCTAAGTTTGCAACCTTTTGCCCTGCTGATCATCAGGAGATAATTCCAGCCACAAGGGGGAAGTGCACGAGTTCCTAAGGCATGTGATGGAAATGAGTACAGTTCAGAGCACCACCGGGAACAGCCTAGAAACAAGTAAAGCCCAGGAGCAGCAAGGTACCAATCTCGTGTTGACACAAGTAGAATCAGGACGGTCCGCACTTTCTGTCTCTATCTTAAATTTCACTCATGTGTCCATGGCACCAGAAAGACTAAACATCATACTTGTCGGTTTTCTTTTGTCTGTTTTGTTTGAATTCTTTCAGCCAACATAACAATAACCCCGGACCCAATTTCTGTTTCTGAGGGACAAAACTTTTCTATAAAGTGCACCAGTGATATGAGTAACTATGATGAGGTGTATTGGAACACTTCTGCGGGAATTAAAATATACCAAAGGTTTTTTACCACGAGGAAGTATCCTGATGGAGCGGAGTCAGTGCTGACGGTGACGACCTCGACGAGGGAATGGAATGGTGAGTGAAAGGCCAGTACTCTACTCTGCCGCCTGCATCCCTGGATACACTCTGTAATAGCTGCCATCCATGGAGGGCTTGTCCTGAGATATGCCTGTGCCAGCCACTTTACATTAAATATGTCATCATATTCCATGCAACAATCTTTTGGGGGAAGAGGTCATTATTCCCATTTTACAGATGTGGAAACCGAGAGTCAGAGAGGATAGTAAGTACACCTAAGCTTCTACACCTTAAGTAAGTTGTAGAGCCAGAACTGGAACTGGTCCCTCTCATTCTAGAGCCTGTGCTCTTGCCAGCATGTTAAGAGGATTGCTTTTAAAAGTACTTTCACCAGACTCTTAGGAATGTTTTACCCAATTGTGGTATCAAAAAATCTAGGTAAAGGATTTATATTCTTGGTTCCAAAGATAGAAACAATTTTATTTCTTATGTATCGCTACACATTATTCATGTTAGGAAAATATGCACATCTTTGGGAGGGGGAAAGAGGCTTTAATAGAACTGCTACACAAATAACTGACTTTCATTGAGCTCTTACTATGTAATAGGCACTGTGCTAAGTATTTAAGTGTATTAATTCATTTAAAACAATAAACCAAGAAGATAATGCTATTATTATCCTCATCTTACAGATGAGGAAACTGAGGCTCAGGGAAGCTAAATAAATTATCTGAGGTTATACATGTCATAAATGACAGAACTGGGACGAAACTGAAATTGCCTGGCTCTTTTGGCCAACCCTTAACCACTTCACTCTGAAGTCTTTCATTTACGGTACAATTAATCAGCCCAGATCCTGTGAGTCTCAGTTCTTCTTCATTTTTACAAATAGAGGCCAGGCAACAGTGTACAAGTAACTTGATATTATTTGGCTGTACTTGGTTATATAAAATCGGAAAATGAGAATATTTTTTTCTCATGCCGAGCTTACACCTACCTGTCCAAATTGCTCATCTCTTCTACTGGGCAATAACTTATGAGCAGCCATAACTCTTCCAGTCACATTAAACTATTAACCAGTCTCAAACTCAAGTACTAAAAAAATCTATCTCATCTAAAGCAGCTACACTTTCATTTTATACTGAATTTAAAATTTCCTTCCCTCTTGACAGAATTAAAAGGAGTTTCTTCTCTGTTTTTGTTCTACCTGTTCATCTTCTGGTTAGTTGCTGTTCTGGCTTCTTCAGAGTTGGAGCAAAGAGAAAGAATGTAGGAAAAAAACAAAGTGTCTTACTAAACTATAGGTACTGTTATAATCTTTCTAGTACTGTCCTCATGGCGGCTGCTCGAATGGCAGCTCATCTTTTGATGGGCCCCGGCACAAAGTCCACTGAGAAAAGGTTCTTTTGAAAAGCTCAACTCAAATACTTTCCACAGTCCACTCTGTCTCACCAAGCACTGGGCATGCAAGCTACTCCTGGTGCCGCCTTCCCTTTTACTCCAGCAAAGTCAGCCAACCTCTTATCTTTAGACTTTTCTCAATAACAGTGAGACATCAGACATCTAATTCCAGGATCCACAGCTCAGGCTCTTCCAAGAATCCATTCTCTATCTGTCTCTCTGTCTCTGTCTCCATCTCTCTCTCCATCTCTCTCTCTGTCTGTCTGTCTGTTTCTCCCTCTCTCTCTCGCATTTCTATCTCTATCTCTCTCCACACAGTCCTGGTGGTGCCATGATGGGTCCTAGAAACTGAAAAGTCTACTCACTTAGAGATGGAAAGAAGGAGTGTCACAGGATCACAGTACTCCATCTGGCTGATGACTTTCAAAGTTTTTCAAAGAACTTCCCATCCCAGCATACACGAAAATTTCCATTTATTCCATAGTTAATAAAAGAACCTTGGAGTAGGTATTGGAAACCTGTTCTGAAACCCAATTCCACCCCTAACAAGCTGTGTGACTTTGGATAAGCTGCTTAATTTTATGTAAGAGTAAGTGACTATTTAGGTGGCTCTTGGTCAGTCCTTCAACCACATAGAGCATCCAGGAAGGAAGTCGATCAAGCTTTTTCTTACTCAGTATCCAGGAACGTGTGGTGTGTCCTTACCCAAGCTTAACAGGGACAAATAAGCTTCTTCTTAACCTTCCCAGCAAATGTCTTTTTGGAACAATGATTTCATTCCATCTAATTTTTGCTTCCTTCTACCCAGGAACCTATTACTGCATATTTAGATATAAAAATGCATACAGTGTCGCGACCAAAGATATCACTGTTCACCCACTGCCTCTAGAGCTGGACATCATGGTTGACCCTTTGGAAGCTGCAATTTCATGCAAAGATTCCCATTACTTCAAATGCTGCATCGAGGAGGATGAACACTACAAAGTAACTTTCCAAGCCGATTCCGTTTTCTTTCCTCCTGGTAAGACACCAACTGCTGAATCGTTAGTGTGTAGTATTCACTATATGTGGAGTCTGAAAATTTACTCTTAAGAATAAAGAGATACAGGGATTGCATCAGAGACCGGGTATATCAGAGAGAGAGAATCTCATGAGCCATTTTTACATTCTAGTTTGCTCTGTAACTGCTGGCTCACCGGTTTGTGGCAAAATCTTAAGAGTTTGTGAGGATGGAGCCCACTGTTTTTAGCGGGAGTTGTTGAAGACAGTATTAAGATGTCTTCATAGGCCTTCCACTTCTTCACTATTGTAGACCCGTTATTTTGATAGTCCCTCCTTCTATGCTATGAATCAACATACTATAAAAGTACCACAAAAATCCTTTTTGAATGCACAGTTAAGCATGCAAGAAAGTAAGAGAAATAACCAAGGGCCAAACACAGTGGAAAAGAAAAAAAAAGATAATGCTTTAGCTAATGCTGGGGCTTCCCTGAGGCCATCTGCCAATCTAAGAAACCTAGAACCTTGAGTTTTAAGGCTCTGAAGGTCATGGAAAAAAGGACTTGCTCCCTGTGCAGTAGCTAGGGTACCTCTACCACACCGGCACAATGTCAGGACCCTCAAAGAGTGACATGCTCAGTCAAAGAATAAACCAGAAAAACAAAATTCATCTGCCAGAGTTAAGAGCTTGGCATCATCTCTGAGTGGGCAAAAATTTTTCCTGAGAATTATAATTGTCTTGTCCTCACTCATGTTTGGAGTTTGAATATTTGCTATCCACGTGGTCCAGGAACTCCAAACTGAAGGGTAAAAGGGTCCATTGGTAGCACCCTATGACATGTGGTTAAAAAAAATTAAACCCTCTCTGGTAGAATGTACCCTCAATCCAGATCTCTCAGGATTCTTAAAGATTAAGGTCAACCAAATATGAGCTCACACCTCAAATCTCAAAACGTAGACACCATCATGAGTGATGCACAAGCTCATTCATTCTTTCAACAATTCTTGGGGACTTACTCAATGCAGAACAAAATAGTAGGTAATGAAAAGGAGAGATAAGAAGTGGGACACATATATTAATGTGTAGAAGGGCTCATATTATATAGGCGATGCATATAACATTAAATATCCAAAATGAGCAATATAGGTCAAAAGAACACTGCAAATTCAGAAAAGTAGGGACCCAACAAATTTGGATAGTTTAGAGAAAGTTGCATGGTAGAGAGATATGGAATAAATATGGATATTGAAACATTCAAACATTTTTAACATTCTGTGTTCAGCATAGATGTATTCAGTGCTATCTCAATGTGCCAAATACTGAGCTAGACGCTAGGAGATGGAAAGATAAGCAAGACCAGATACCTTCTCTCCAAGACCTTATGGTCTAGTGTAGGAGAGGACTCTAAACTAATGTAGATAGGATAAATGCATGGGACATGATGGGATTTAGGTAGATAGAGGGCATTCTGAAAAGCATTCTGATTCTAAAACTGTGGGCATAGATTTGGAGTCATAAATGGTGAAGTTTTGGCTAGGATGCATGCAAATGTGGGCTTACATACCTCTAGGCTGGAGTTATTTTAAAAACCACATTAAAAATGAATGTGGCACATTCCTGGGAAAAGTTTGCACAGGTATCCAGAGTGGGTCATTTTAACGAAATCTGTGCTTGGGATACTAAGATTGTGACTTAATTCTTTCAATAATTCTGTCTTAGAAAAAGAAGTTAATGGAAAGCAAGTGTGCTACGTATTGAATTTCACGGCAAACTCAGTTTCCTGGTGTCCAAAAAATGTTGATGTGTTTTGTCACTTTACCAATGCTGCTAATAATTCAGTCCGGAGTCTACCTATGAAGCTTAATCTGGTTCCTGGTGAGAGCATTTTAAATTTTTAAAAAATGTTATAATCATGAGCAGCAATTCATTTATTCATTCACTCCCTCATTCACCCATTTAACAAATGTATGTTAAGCACCCTCATGTGGCACGCCTTGGGCTACGTGAGCATGGGGGTGGGGAGGTTGAAAAGAAATAAGCCATAGCCATGTTTCTTGACCCCAAGCTAGTCGAGAGAGATGTAATGATTAAAAATGTGTATCGCGTATAATGTGGCAAGTGCTAAACTAGAGACATTGTGGGCAGCCAGAAGAGGCTGCCTGGTTTAACTTTGTGAGTGGTGGGTGGGAAGAAAGTGATCAAGAAAGCCTTGCAGATGAAGTCATGTTTCAGCTGAGTCTGGGCAGATAAGAGTGGGCAGTGTCTGTGTGGGGCTAAGACCCCTTGAGGTTTCAACAAAGGAAAACTGTCCCCACTAGCACTGTTACCCTGAGACAAGGCTACATGAAAAGAATCAGTCTGAAGAATAAGCAACTATCTTTCCCATCATTTGTAATCACTGAGACAATATCCCCCCACATAATATTTTCAATGTAGAAGGCCAGATTTGTGGAATCATTTCATAATATCTCATACTGAAGAGCTCTCCTCAGTAGCATAGGAGAACAAGTGAATACATGATGGTCCTGGGTTTCCACCATAGGTAATCCCTGCCTCCAGAAATCTTCTCTGCAATAGGACTCCTGATATCAGAAGGATCCATAGCCCTATCATCAAGCCTATTTGAGTTCACTGAATGATTTGTGGCTTTTCTTACATCAGTTGGTAACTGAGCCTGGCACCAAAGTAGGAAGTAATTGAGAGTCTCCTATCTCTTGGAGTCACTGTTCCTTACCCTGCCAAGCATACCTCTTCTGGGGGGCAGCCAAGATCACTTTATTGTTCCCCTATCTTAGCCCAGTGCCAACATGTTTTATTCACTTGTCTTTGTTTTTATTTTCTCCTTCATACCAAGTCTGATTTTGCTTTCTTTTCCTCATAGAACATTACTTATGTATTTCAAAATTCTATACGATGGCTGAGAACTCAATTAATGTTAAATTTAAAAATTGGTGAAGAGAGAAATCTGCTCATCAGAGAATCAGGAGATTAGAGATTGTGCAACAAATGTCATTTTTCCATTCAAGTCTTGAGTAGAGGTGAAATAGAGTTGCCCTCAAGGGAAACCAGAAGGAAGAAATTCTTAGAAATATTGCCTAGACATTCAGGCCATGGCGCCTGGAATTCCTACTGCTAACTGTAACTTTGGATTAAGGCTGTACTTCTTAACCTTGGCTGTACATTGGAAACACTGGAGAAAGTTAAAAAACTGTTAATGCCTCAATCCCAGCTGGAGAGGTTCTGATTTACTTGGGCTGGAGTGAGCCTGGACATTAGTATTTTCTAAGCTCTCCAGGGGACTCTAATGTGCCAGAGTTGAGAATCCCTTGAATTAAGGCATTATGTCCCCAAGGCTCTTGGAAACCTGAATAGCTCTTATTTGGATGAGTGCACATTAAGCTCTCATTATTTTCCATGGCTTAGATATTATAGGCAGTAGAGAGAAGATTCCTGGAGATTGAAGGTGGGAAGAAGCCACAGAAGAAATCGATTCTGTTAGGAGGAACAAGTGCAGATTAAAGTCAGACGTATGTGGAAAGCACTAAGAGGCTTTTGGAAATCAGGTGCAAAATAAAGGAATTGGCTAACGTCAAAGAGATCACTGAAAGTAAAGGGAAAGTTGAATTCAAACATCAAATTCTACCTAGGCTGGACCCCATTTCCGCTATCTTTTCTCTTCTTTTCAGTTGTTCTTTTTATTTCCATGTTTCCAATGCAGGAGAGAACATCACATGCCAAGACCCCATAATAGGTGTTGGGGAGCCTGGGAGAGTCATCCAGAAGTTATGCCAGTTTTCAAACCTTCCCAGCAGCCCTGGAGGGCCCGTTGGTGGAATCATTACTTACAAATGTGTAGGGTCTCAATGGAAGGTGAAGAGAAATGACTGCATCTCTGCCCCAATAAATAGTCTGCTCCAGCTGGCCAAGGTGATCTTTAAACCTTTGATTCAGACCTCTTGGTGGGGAGAGCTGTCTAGCTTATCGTATTTCTCAGCACTTAGGAAAATGGGCCTTGTGCTGATTTGTGTTGCTCTCAAAGCTACTTTTACTTGTTTATTTCCAAAGAAGATGTAACCTTAAAAATGCTTAAAAATTTTGTTTAAATGCAAATGTGGAGGTAACAAAATATGTGTGCTACTCTAAAACTGGCCGTATACCTTTACCTTGCCTTTTCAATACCTTCTCTCTGTTACCTGCAAGGGGCAGGTAGTAGTATCCTCTCTAACTTCTCTCCTTTGAATAATTTTGATACCAAGCAAATAGCTCTAATCTTCACAGAAAGAGGAGCAATATAAAAAAATAAGGTTGATCAGTGAAAAAAAAAATAGTTGGGCTTTATGCTTGTACAAGTCTGAGATCTCCTCAATCCTTAGAGGTAATTTATAGTTACAGAAGGGACTAGCTTACCTCTCTTACCTACAATAGAGGTTACTGCTATGTGGTAGGGGAAAATTCTGTACTTTCCATCAAAATAAATAAATGTCATCTCATACTTAAGTCATTTAGAATAAGAATCTTCTAAAATTCCATGAATTACACTAAATAAATACCGATTAGGCAACTAGAAGGGTTATAGTTAATAGTGATGTCTTTAGACAACTGGTTCCAAATCTTTTTACCCTTGGAGAATTGAGGAAAAGAGGTGATATTGATTTGTGCTTTATCTGTCTTCTGCCTCTCTTCTTGTCTTACACCAAATTCATGAAAATGCCTACTATGTGCAAAGCATTATTATAAATGCTATTAGGGTAAAGAGGCCAAATTAGAACTTGACCTCTGATTTGATGGAAAATATAGATGTTAAATACACATTAATTTTGGCTGGGATAATCAGGAAGTTCTGCTTGAGAAACTTGGCATCTGAGTTGGTCTTTGATGAATGAAGCATTGGGGATATAAATTATCCTGAGAACTCAACATTGGGTGCTGGTCCCAATTCTAGATACCCAGATACATTTTCATGGGAAAGGAAAAAACAGGCCTATCATGCTCCATTTGATTTATCTATTTAACATATATATTATTGCACTCCTACTATGTGCCAAGTTAAATAACTTGTACTATGTTAGGCATTATGGGATATGAGAAGGATATAAATAAATATAACACACACTTTACATTGTTAAGGAGCTTTTCATTTAAGTGGAGACACTGAAATTAGAACACAAGATGACATTGGTAGAGATACAAATGTGAAATATATTAAAGAAAACAAATACTTATGCATTTAGAGGAAGATATTGCCCTGTTGGAACACTCATCAAAGTTCTTCATGGAGAAGATAGAATTAGATTTTTTAATTATAATTAGGAGTTAGATAGTTAGAAAACACAAGAATAATCATTATTCATAGGGTGATCCTATCATTTACCATCCAAATCAGGACACTTTTTGAAAATAAAAGAGGGCACAGTTAATAATTATACCGGGACAGCAGATATAAGCCAGAACTGTCCCAGGAAAATTGGGACAAAGTCACCCTAATGATCAGCGAAGTAAGCGATAAGAAAAAGCGAAGAGTAGCAAATGTGCTTCCATACAAACCATCCAAGTGTCAGTTTTACTCAACTCTAATCTAACCCTCTAGCAATCTACTTCCTTTTTTTTTTTCAATTAGTCATCAGGTTGACATATGTTTTTCTGTTCCTTTTCTATTTGTGAGGTCTTATGTAATGGTTCATTCTGAAATGTACAGTTTAAGATAAAAGTAAGTTATTTTATGAGATATGTTTATTGAAATGGAGAGAAAAGAAACTACAGACATGAGACATTTTGTTATGGAAGAATCAGGAGGATCTGATGACTGGACTAACTGGCAAGATTTTTGTGTCTGTTTGTGTTGGCTTTTATTTTCCTAGGCTTTGATCAAGAGCCCCTCTCAGGACAGGAAGCTGCCTTCATACCTAAGAGGTCTTTCTATTAGCAAAGACAAGGTGGCACATGAAGTCGGCTCATCTCCTGGCAGCCTGGGAGCCATTATTAACATCCTTGATTTGCTCTCAACAGTTCCAATCCGAGTGAATTCAGAAATGATGACGGTGAGTTTGTTTATGCCTTGCAGAAGTTTGGGGTCTCATCTTTTCACCCCTCAGGATTTATAGTCAAGAAACAACGTCTCCCCTTTGCAGCTTCTTCTCTGTCTTTTCCAGAGCAATGCACTGGATATAAGAGTCACATAACATGTTTTTCCAGCTATGGCTTTTAGGATATCAAGGAGTGTTGCCAATATTCATTTTGGGACCTTAAGAAGATTTACTTAGTAAATCTCTGTTTTAGATAGAATTAATTTTTCTTTCTAGGAAAACTAGGAATTCAGGGTTTTTAGAATAAGTAAAATGTGAGATTCTCAATGGTCTAGCACTAAACATGAACTTTGAAGTAATCAGTGTTCTGGGAAGAAAGAGAATTCACCCACAAGAATTCAGATGAAGAGACTTTGTAGAAGTAAAGCCAGGATTTCAAAAAATAAAAAGGTGGTGTGGCATTCAAAGGTCAGAAACATTTAGGAGTCATTACTATTCCTGGGACTAAAGGAAAAAGGAG